TTACAGATGTCAAAGTTTAGCTTATGCTATCTAAGTCGTTTCTACAATGTAATCGGTGATTTTTTTATTTTTTTTTTTAATTTTTTTTTTTTTCAGTGAAGAAAAATCAGTTCGTTCAATTCCCTCTTAGTCTTATAAAATTCTTTAAGAAGAAGAGAAAGGGGAAACAGAAATAGAAGTAGAAACCATTTATAGACATTGAAAGCACACCATCAAACTAAAAATAAGTTGAATTGAAACATATTAGCTTAGCTATATGTTAACATCCCTTTTAAACTCATCAATAATGGCTTCAATCAGTGTAAATATTGGGCCCAAAATGGGGTTTCTGTGACCTTCAACCTTAATTATCATTATCTATTTTTTTGGTAAGTAATTAATAAAATTTAATTAACCCAACAAAATACTAATATCTCATTTTATTTTCTTATTTTACTCATTTTGTGTTAAAGAAAAATTATTCTACTTAAAAGATTGTAATTAAAAGTTCCTTAAAAATGCTTTCTCCTATTTTAAGTAATTCAGATCTTAATTATCTCTAACACTGTGAAGATCATATGATTTGATTGTAAATTTCAAGATAAACACTTAATTATTGGCACCTTTTAAATGCTTATTGGATTAATGACTAGTCATGGCTTTGCCATCATAATATTATTATCTGGATGCAGAAGGAACCACAGATCTCTTGTATCATCAATAGTAAAAAGAGACATAATTATCATCATTTTGTTGACTCTTCTTCAACAAAGAAAAATACTCCTGGTCCTAGATTCTCCCTCTCTTAGATCTCCTTCAAATACACAACTCTAGAGAAGAGCATTAATTATTTACTTAATCATCAACATGATGCCAACTGGGTTCAGGTTCAATCCCACTGATGAAGAGCTAATCCAAATTCTTCAGAGGAAAGTTTATGGCAAAGAAATGCCTCTCCATGGCAATTTCATTGTTGAAAGAAACGTTTATGAGTTTGATCCTCAAGATCTTCAATGTTTGTTAAGCTTTCTTATTTCACTCTCTTCATTAATTATGCTTTTAATATGGTGAATAAGAGGATGAAGTGCAAAGTTGTTGAGTGTTTGGATGCTTTTGATAATAGGCCAAAGTGGTGTCATTTTAAGTAAAAAGTTTCAGCTCACTTTACTCTTTGCTCTGTATAAGTGTTAGTATAAAAAGAACAGTTGTTCTTGCTCATTTGTATCGAAATTCCAGTCAGTTGAATACAAGAAACTTTGTTCTCTCAAATCATTTCAGCTTTTGTATAATTCACATGGTATCAGAGCCAAGACTCGCGTCAATGGCTAAGGATTCCTCTGCTTCTACACGCTTAACAGCATCGAGAAGTGTTGAAGATTCTTCAAATAGATCTACTTCAGCTTTTAATTCGAGTTTGCAAGTTATAAACCCTAAGCTGACAAGAAATAATTACCGGTTTTGGAGCTCTGAAATGTTATGCTGTTGGCTCTCATGAATTGGAAGATACATCCTCTAGGTAGAGCTCGTTGCCCCTCGCCAGTTCTAATCGTGAATCTGAGGTTAGTGAACAACTTAATCCAGCTTATGTTTTTGGGAAAAGAGTTGATAAATGTTTAGTTAGCTGGCTACTCGCATCAATTTCAGATTCTGTGTGTTTCAAAATGTAGATTAGCCACTGAAATTTGGTTAGCCTTAGAAAACGAGTTTGTAACGATTCACGGCTCGAGCTCTTCATCTTAAAAATTTACTTCAAACTATTCAAAAGGTAGTCTTAGTATTAGTGATTACGTTAAAAAGATGAAAGAGATTTCTGAAAGTTTAGCAGCAGGTGGAATGGTTGTATCTGATGAGGATTTGCTTCAATACGTATTAGATGGGTTAGGACCTGAGTATGATGCTGCTGTTATGACCCTCGTTCCAGATTAGAGTCCAAAGTGATAATGTTACACTTCAAGAGGCACAATTTTTACTTCAGAAATATGAGCTGAGATTAGAAAAATTTAACTCTGTTGATCTCTACAATAGATCTGTTATGTAGCCTTAGCTAGTCATCCTAATGTACCTGGCATTTCTGGAGCAAAAGAGCATACTAGTTACAACAAAGCTACAAACGTTGAGCACATTGTACCATCCCTAATGTCTCTGGGAAATCCTCATAGTCACAGACTATATCACTCCACCAGCCTTCACATCCTCTCAGCCTCAAAATTTATGCCTTTTGTTGGTAATGGACTGAATCAAATCTGGACTGGACCTCCTATTTATGGAAGAGGAAGAGGCAGAGGCCGTGGTAGTGGAAGAAAACAGACTCATTGTCAGGTCTGTAATAAGGTTGGACACTCTGCTGCAGTGTTACCATTGTTTATGTAGCTTACAGTGGTAGTTCATAGCAGCAGCAATTGTTCATGTGCCTCAACAGCAGCACTCTAGTTTTACTCATCAAGGCACCAAATGTGTTACCTCAGCATTATCAGAGCTCAACTTATCCTCAGCCTGCTCAGCATCTCAGTATGCTCAAAACAATGTTTTCTCTGCTGCTAATCAACTGCTAATGACCACTCATCACCAGTCCAAACAGTGGTTCAACACATTTCAATCCTTCTTCCACCATTGGACAGTCAAGCAATACATTTGCTCCTACTTCAGGTGTTGGTTGTTTTTGGAGTACCTAGTCAGTAGAACTCTGGCTAAAGTCAAGCCCATTTTGTTTCTAATGGACCAGGGGCCGGATTCTACTGATATTGGTGGAAATGTGGAAATCTGGGAATCTTATTGTCCACCTTCTCATGTGTTTGATAGTGCTACAACCTTCTCTTCCACTGATCCAGCATGGCATAGGACTCTGGAGCTACTGATCATGTAACTTGATCTTGGACAGCTACAAATCAGCAAGACTTATGCAGGTGATGCTCAACTTCAAGTAGGCAGTGGTGGCACCTTTCTATCTCTCATACAGGCCATTCTATCTTACCTAGTTCATTGCATTCCAAATGTTTACATCTTATGATATACTTTGTGTGCCAAACATTACAAAAAATTTACTTAGCATCTCTAGGTTTACCAAAGACAATAATGTTATTGTTGAGTTTGATGCAAATTGTTGTGTTGTTAAGGACAAATCACAAAGGCCATGTTACAGCAAGGGGCGCAAAGGAGGTCTGTACAACTGAATATTCCACCTGCCTGTTTCTTTGCTGTTTCAACCTCCACAGCTTCACAGATCACCTAACTATAGTTCATCATCTAATAAAGTAGCATCTTCTGTCCAATTCTCGGAGAGTCACTGTTTAGTCAGTCCTATAGGCCTAGTTTTCAAAATAGGTTAGTGATCTGCTGTTGATAACTCTCAGTGTAATCATTTCAAATGCAAACTATAATAACTGTTCATCGAAATCATGTAAAGAAATTTGCAGTTTTTTAGTAATAAAAAATTGATCATTTTGTGATTCACAACCTGCTTTAGTTTTTGATTTTAAATTTACTGTTGATATGTCTGCTTCTAACATGCATAATTTTGACAAATCGATCTGCTTGTGTAACTACTTTGAATAAGCCTAAAACACAATCTGTTAGTGATGCACTTATGTTCTAAGTCTGAACTGTCTCATGATATTCAGAAAAACTAAGTTTGCCCGAAAATGTGCAATTCCCTACACAAAATGCACCCAATGTTTCACATATTAATATGCATGAGATGAATCTGTTAAGTTGAACTTCCACCCAGTCTTCATGCTTGCGTGAATAAACAACTTTCTTCTCATATGATTTGGCATAGAAGATTAGGACATCCCCACTCCTGTTTTTCAAAAAATCAGACCAGTTTTTCAGGTTCTCACTCATAAGTTTCTATTTACAAAAATCTGAAACTTTCTTGTGATGCATGTCATTAGGTAAACTTCATCAGAACCCCTTTCCTGCCTCCCAGTCACATGCTTTGAACACTTGCTTTAATTCATAGTGATGTTTGGGGTCTTGCCCCTGCAGTGTCTATTGAAGGTTTCCGGTATTATGTTCAGTTTTTAGATAGTTTCAGTAGGTTGCATGGGTTTTTCCTTTAAAAACAAAAGCTAAAGTTAAATCTGTATATTAAATTTCATCACCTCGCGGAAGGCAATTTAACACTAAACTAAAGTGTCTTCAATCTGATCAAGGAGGAGAGTATAAAACTCTTATTCCTTATCTAAATGACTTAGGCATTCAATTTAGACATTCATGTGCTTACACTCACCAACAATGGGTAGTGAACGCAAACATAGACATATTGTAGAAACCGGTTTAACATTGCTTGCACATGCAATATGCCCCTGCATTATTGGTGGTTTGCATTTGAAACTACTACGTTCTTAATTCATAGAATGCCTATTGATGTCTTACACGGTGATACTCCTTATTTCAAATTGTTTCACAAACAGCCTGTTTATGAGAGTCTAAAGTTTTGGATGTACTTGTTCCTTACCTTCATCACTTAACAGTCATAAATTGTTTTCATTCCTCCAAGTGTGGTTTATAGGATATAGTTTAGTTCATAAGGGGTATAAGTGTTAAGAGCATATGGAAAAAAATTGTTACATCTAGTGTCACTTTTAATGAAATAGAGTTTCCATTCCAAAATACACAGTTTATTGATCCTTATGACACATCTTCCTTCAAATAGATTTCTTTAATGAACAGGATAGTTTCAACACCTCTTCTCGTCTCATTTACCCAGTTTCATCCTACCATATCTTCTTCAGTTACTCCGTTCCTCATGCAGTAACAAAGCCTACAAACAAGGCTATCCTTAATGATCAACAGTTGCTATCATCTCACTTCATCCAAACAGTCAAAAATTCAAAAATACCATCTCAAACCAACATATCAGCTCACCTATATTACCATCAGCATCTGCACCCATGACTACTACCTCACCATCTACAGAACCACTTCATACAACCCTTGTAGCAACCTTTTAGACTTCTCAAATCAACATATCATCACATACATTACCATCAGCACCTGCACATGAATTCTTGACAGTAACTATGCAGAATAAATCTGATCCATATGATTCAGCTGGTCTAGTTTCAAATGAAGGTGAAATTTTGCTACACAAATTGGATTCTTGGCAGCAGCTGTGCAGAATAAATCTAATCCATATGATTTAGCTGATCCAGTTTCAAATGAAGGTGACATTTGTGCATTCAGCTTGCTTATATAGTCAGGATATCATTGAACCTGAACCTACATCTGCAATAAAAGCACTTGTAAGTCTAGCTTGGAAAGCTGCCATGCAAGTTGAGTTTGATGCTCTGTCCAGCATACACTGGTTTCTTGTTCCACATCTTCCGATAGAATATTGTGGGGAACAAATGGGTTTTCAGGACAAATTCAATGAGATGGCAGTCTCCAAAAATACAAAGCCAGGCTAGTGGCTAAGGGGTTTCAACAAACACCAAGATTGGATTACTTTGACATTAGTCCAGTCGTCAAGCCATCCACATTCGTATTATTCTTACGTTGGCAGTTTATAATGCTTGGGACATTCAGTAGATTGATGTGAACATGCCTTTCTTAATGGCACACTGAATGAGACAGTTTACATGTGACAGCCACCTGGTTTTGAATCATCTGATCATCTCTTTATTTGCAAACTGAATAAAGCTTTGTATGGATTGAAGCAAGCTCCTAGGGCTGGTTTGACAAGTTAAAAACTACATGCAGATTAAGGGATTTCAGAACTCCATCTCAGATTCTAGCTTGTTAATTTTAAGGAAATTCTGCCCTCACTTAGTTTTGGTATACGTTGATGATATCTATTATCGAGTCCAATTCCACTTATATTAGTCAATGATGACATATTGAATGTGAATTTGCATTGAAAACTTTGGGGTCTTTGCAGTATTTCTTGGGTTGGAAGCAATAGAACTTCAGCTGGTATTCATCTTAAACAGACTAAGTATGCAACTGATTTACTTGTGAAAACTAATATGCTTGAAGTCCATGTGTGCTCCACTCCAAGGCTGTTGGTACCAGGTGTCTTCCCTTGAAAGTCCAGCTTTCAAACATCCTAGTTTATACAGAAGCACTATTGGTGCTCTTCAGTATTTAACTCTTACTCGTCCTGACATCAGCTTCCCTGTCAACAAACTCAATCAACACTGCAAGCCCCAACAAATCTGCAGTGGCAAGCGTGCAAGAAGATCCTTAGATACACAAAGGTACTCTTCGTTTGGGTTACCATTTTAGCCAGTATCCTTAAACATTGAGTGTTAGTGATGCCAATTGGGGAAGTAGTCCTGATGATCGAAGGTCTACAAGTGGGTGTTGTGTTTTCTTAGGTCCAAATCTTATTCAATGGAGTTTTCACAAGCAAAAAGTGGTAGCATGTCCAACTGAGGCTGAATACAGAGCACTTGCTCAAACTGCACATGAGGTAGCCTGGTTAAGAATAGTGCTTTGAATTGGGTTAAATTTTCCTATGACTCGGTGGTATGGTGTGATAATGTGAGTGTTGGAGCGCTTGCTTCTAATCTAGTTTTCCGCACGGACGAAACATATTGAACAGGATGCACACTATTCGTGAACAAGTTTTAGCCAAGAAGTGGTGGTCAGTATGTACCATCAAAACTTCAAATTGTGATCTTCTAACAAAGCCTCTCTCAACTGCTCAATTCAGGTGAGCTCAGACAAAAACTGACAATTCTTGATGGTGCTAACTTGAGTTCTGGTTACTGTTTTTGCAGTAGCTTTCAGTGCATTTGGTGTTTTTCAGATGAGTTTGCAACTGGTAGTGCAGATTTCTAATCAGATTTGGTGAGCCTGATTTTTTGATGGTGCCAACTTGAATTCTGGTACTGATTCTGCAGTAACTTTCTGCAACAAATGGTTTTTTCAGTATTGAGTTTGCAACTGGTAGTGTAGATTTCTAATTAGATTTGGTAACCTGATTTTTTGATGGTGCCAACTTGAAATTGGTTATTGATTTGCAGTAACTTTCTGCAGCAACTGGTGTTTTTTCAGTATTGAGTCTGCAACTGGTAGTGCAGATTTCTAATCAGATTTGGTGAACCTGATTTCTTGTGAATTTTTTTTGACTGATGATTTTGATGATTGCCCCTGATAATGCATGTTGGTGAAGTGAATGTGATGAAATTTTGGTGAAATTGATAATGAATGATTCTAATTCTGTTGGCTGATAAGTTCTGATGGTTGAAAATGTTAATGAATGTTGGTGAAGTGAATTGATGAAGCTTGGTAGGAGGATGAATGTGTTATGAATCTGGCAGTAAAGAATCAATGGTGATGAAGTGAATGTGATAAAGCTTGGCAGTGCAGGATGAATGTGCTGTGAATCTGGCAGTAAAGAATCAATGTTGTGCTGCTGTTGTGCTGCTGCGGTGTGGAGTTGGTAGTACAGAGTCAGAATATGTTGTGAATTTGTTGTGAATTTGGTAGTGTAGGATCAGAATCAGAATTAAAGTGATTAAGTTGAAATTTTAGAATCTTAGTTGAGCTGCTGGATTGTGAATTAAAATTGACAGTGAAGAATCAGAATTAAAGCTGATAAGTTGAAATTTTAGAATCTAAGTTGAGCTGCTGGATTATGAATTAAAATTGACAGTGAAGATTCAGAATTGAGCTTTTAAGTTGTGGATTTTGTGATGACTGAAACTGGGAGTGAAGATCCTAAACCAGGTTTGGTTTGAGGGGAGATGTTGATATAACAGGATGAAAGTGCAAAGTGTGAGTGTGGATGCTTTTGATAATAGGCCAAAGTGGTGTCGTTTTAAGTAGAAAGTTTTAGCTCACTTACTTCTGGCTCTGTATAAGTGTTAGATAAAAAGAACAGTTGTTCTCTCTCTTTGTATCGAAATTGGTAGGACTAGTGTTGTCAGCAACAAAAATATTTTTAGAAAATTGTAAATTAGTTTTTTAAATGTTAGTATATTGTAAAAATACCCCTAAAAATTTGCAAATTAGTTTCTAAAAATTTAATATATTTCAAAAAATACCCAAAAATTACGTAGTCCCTAAAGGTTTAAAATACTACAAAAACACCCATAGAAAATTATGAATTGACCCCTATAGGTTTAAAATATAACAAAAACCCACTAGAACTAGAACCGGACTGAAGAGACTGTTGGTTCTTAGTCCGACCGGTTCGACTGGCTGGTCTGATCCAGTTTTCATAACATTGATTATCTTAACTAAATAGATATGTTTTGCGTGAAATTCGGTTGCATGGATGAAGCCAAAAGCAAATGTGTAAGAGTGGAGTAGTGATATTTGATCCCTATCTGTTTTATCAATAACCCTCACCTAAAGGATAAAATTGTAAAAAAAGGAAAATGACATTAAACAGTTTTTAACAGTTAGCCAATCTCTTATCGTCTGAACTCCTATCATCCATTTAATAAAAGCAAATTATTAATAGAATAAATAATAAAAATTATCATAGTCTTCATTTTATCTTTTTAAGTTTTATTGTTATAGTTAATTCCAAAAAACCACCTACAACGCTCCTTCTCTAATTGCATCTCTCTCCTTTGGTTGGGCCTTTCTTTGTTATGGTTTTGTTAGGGAAACATTAATTCTGAACTTGGCAAACATTCTTTTCAACCTTATTTAAATCAAATAGGGGACGAGTTTGGTACGTCAAACATGACTCCTAAACATATGGAATTTACAAGTTTATCCTTCTTTTACAATTTTATTTTCGTTGTCAAAGAAACACTACTGAAAATTGTGTCTATTTAGAACCGCTCCCCGATGCCAAGGACCATTAACATTTACAGATGTCGTTGCGGTAAACAATTTGGAGCACCTTCGACGTGAAAGTGGGGATTATGGATAAAATCGGTGAGAGGTTCAGAAACATTACTTTAATACATACTTAGTTGAACATAAGCTCAAAAGTAAATTCATGCACGTTAGGTCCAAAATAAAATGTGGTTGTGGTTGTGTCCTAGCTCTTACGTGTATAATTTTCTTTTCTAGCAGTTTATAATTATAATTATTTTTTTAATTATTTTTTGGATATGGTAATTGGTGGCCACCCTTTGCCCTTCCTATAACTTGAATCCAAGACCCTTTGGTCTTTTAACTCCCCAATCCATCTTTCATTTCATTGACCACAAAGGGTGATTTTTTTTTTTTTTTTAGGTATGGTAATTGGTGACCACCCTTTACCCTTACTACAATTTGAACCTAAGACTCCTTGCTACAGCAGTTTATGATTTTTTGTATAAGAGATTTTATTTAAACTTCTAGTTATTCAAAACCGGCCGGCCGAAATCTTGTTTTGACTTTAGGCTTCGATTTGAATTCGAGAAGTATGACAGGTGATATTCAATGATAAAATTGATTCATATAATGACATTACTGGATAGGGAAAAAGCTAGTTGACTTTAAGCTTCCATTCATCATTTTGTTTACAGCGTTTGCATGTGATTAAAGTATTTATGTCGTCAGTGAGTAGTAAGATAAAGTTTCAGATAAGAAAAATAAATAAATAAATAGATATATGAAATAGTTTAAGGAAAAGATATATAAATTTATATTTTAAATCAAATACGAATAAGAAAATTTTGACACAACATGTAAGAAGAAATATGAATAAATAACTGTAAGAAAAAAAGGAAAAAAAGACTTATTTATTACCCTTAATTTTTTTTTTTTTTTTTAACTTCTGAGTTAGGGATAGTTAGAAATTTCCACACATCAGTATTTATTGTACTATTCGCTGATGCCAATTGATTCATGGTTATTTTTTAAAACAAATAAAATAATTAAGAAGAATATTATAAATTCTATGAGATATATAATTTTTTTTTTATCTTATTTGATATTTTTTTATCGTACACTCCAAATCATCACTTTAATTAATTTGGAATATCTATTCAAATGTTATTAAGAGATTAAACACATAAATTGATCATGTTTGACTTGGCATTCTTACTTGTCCCATATTGAGAGAGGCTGCTGGATTGACTAAACCTTTGTAGCACCAGTATATTGAGAGAGGCTGCTGGATTGACTAAACCTTTGTAACACTAGTAGCTCTTGAGCTTATAATCCGCTGAAGACTGCAAACTCATGTGCAAGTCAGCAGCCAGACAGGTGGTTAGGAGTTAGTTTTACAGATGTCAAAGTTTAGCTTATGCTATCTAAGTCGTTTCTACAATGTAATCGGTGGTTTTTTTATTTTTTTTTTTAATTTTTTTTTTTTTCAGTGAAGAAAAATCCGTTCGTTCAATTCCTTCTTAGTCTTATAAAATTCTTTAAGAAGAAGAGAAAGGGGAAACAGAAATAGAAGTAGAAACCATTTATAGACATTGAAAGCACACCATCAAACTAAAAATAAGTTGAATTGAAACATATTAGCTTAGCTATATGTTAACATCCCTTTTAAACTCATCAATAATGGCTTCAATCAGTGTAAATATTGGGCCCAAAATGGGGTTTCTGTGACCTTCAACCTTAATTATCATTATCTATTTTTTTGGTAAGTAATTAATAAAATTTAATTAACCCAACAAAATACTAATATCTCATTTTATTTTCTTATTTTACTCATTTTGTGTTAAAGAAAAATTATTCTACTTAAAAGATTGTAATTAAAAGTTCCTTAAAAATGCTTTCTCCTATTTTAAGTAATTCAGATCTTAATTATCTCTAACACTGTGAAGATCATATGATTTGATTGTAAATTTCAAGATAAACACTTAATTATTGGCACCTTTTAAATGCTTATTGGATTAATGACTAGTCATGGCTTTGCCATCATAATATTATTATCTGGATGCAGAAGGAACCACAGATCTCTTGTATCATCAATAGTAAAAAGAGACATAATTATCATCATTTTGTTGACTCTTCTTCAACAAAGAAAAATACTCCTGGTCCTAGATTCTCCCTCTCTTAGATCTCCTTCAAATACACAACTCTAGAGAAGAGCATTAATTATTTACTTAATCATCAACATGATGCCAACTGGGTTCAGGTTCAATCCCACTGATGAAGAGCTCATCCAAATTCTTCAGAGGAAAGTTTATGGCAAAGAAATGCCTCTCCACGGCAATTTCATTGTTGAAAGAAACGTTTATGAGTTTGATCCTCAAGATCTTCAATGTTTGTTAAGCTTTCTTATTTCACTCTCTTCATTAATTATGCTTTTAATTATTTGTATTTCTTTGTTCTATATTGTCTGAATATTAACCTCTTAATTAGGGTTTCGGGATTTTTTATTTTTATTTTTTTTGGATTTAATTCCACTTCATCTAATACTTCCTGCGCTTTATTCTTCTCAAAGAAAATTAAGGGTCTGGAGACTCACTTTACAAATAGTTTTTTTTTTTTCTTTACTTTTGTTGATTCATTTTATTATTTTTAGAAGAAATACTAGACGCCTACGAGATAGAGAGAAATATTCATGAAAAGATTATCAAGAAGAGAATGAAATTAAGGGAGAGAATTACAAGTTGTCTTCTGCACTGCTAAGTTTGTTTGTATTGCTTTTGTGTGTTATATTTTTGGATTAATCTTTTGAAGTTCATGTTCATAGGGGATCATACTGTGGCGTTACTTAACAACGAAAGATATTGCTATTGCATAAGGGAAAATGATTCGCGAGAAGTATCAGGTAGAGGATGGTGGAGAGCTACAGGCCATGTTAAAACAATTTATGCCAATAAACGTGTAGTGGGTTACAAGAGGCCTTTAACATTTCACAGATTTACTGATGATGACAAAAAACGTAATAAAGCTGTGAAGACTAATTGGATTATGCATGAATATAGTCTTGACTCCAACACAACGGTTTGTAGTCTTTTATGCTTTTTTTGTTTTCGCTATATTTATGTGAGTTTTCAAATGAAGAAATGCTAGACTAGTACTTCGTTTTTACACTTAATACTTTAATTATATGGATTTATAAGCTATTATAAATATACGAAGATGATTAAAAAAATATTAGGCATGATGATTCTCTCTCTCTCTCTCTCTCTCTATATATATATATATATATATGTGTGTGTGTGTGTGTGTGTGTGTGTGTGTGTGTCCAATAAAAATTATGTTATATATTTTTATCATCTATTTTATGTAGCTAACTATCTTCATAAAGATAATTTTGAAAATTAGTATACATGTGCGATCTTATTTGATGGATGTGTAGATCACATCATGAAATATTGTACAATATCACATAGACAATATTAATTATACCACATCAATACTGTATAATATTATAAGGTAACATTACTCTCCTCCACATATTTATTTGCTAAAGCTAATAGTTTTGTTCTTTTTCTTAATATTGTAGCAGCATACCAATTAAGGAAAAACATAAAATATTAATTAATTTTACTATAAGAGTTGGTAATTAATAACTAATTAAGGCCTTAAGTAATGATCTTCTTGTGAAAGAATGTGGATATAATACATTTGAGAGATACATATGTGTGGTAGATTAGAAGTGCAAAGAAAGTGACAATATGCACTAAGTGAAAGGATGCCACAAGTTTTATTTTTATATCACATTTTTAACATTTTTCTCTTATGTGGTACGATTAAAGCAAGTATGGGTAACATGGCTTTTAATGTGGAGAGGTAACATGGCTTTTAATGTGGAGAGGTAACATGGCTTTTAAGCATGGGTAACATTTTTCTCTTATGTGGAACGATTAAAGAAAGTTTAATCTCTTGCTGTATGATAGTTTTCTTATTAATTAGCTTTCATTATTTAGTTGATTTTCTATTTAAATTAGGAGTGTTATTTTTTTTTCTTTCATTTGGATTTCTTATTTCGATTATATTAAAATTGGCGTACAATAAATAGGTCTATTAGGTTTGAGTTGTATCCATGATTTTGATTAACAAAATTTTAATAATATTCATGGTGAATTCGAGAGTTATCACTTATTTTTATATGCCCTCTATATTATATGCTCGAAATTTGAGTGGATTTTCACTTGGTCTTTTGATAGTTTGTATATATATATGAAGTGTAGAAATCAAAACCCAGCAATACTTTTGTTTTTCACGTTTTCAGGATTGGAGACTTTGTAAGATCAAGTATAAGGGAAAGCCAAGTGTCCAAGAAGAGCTGGAGAAAAATAGAATAAAAAGCTATAAATCAAGGAATGATTTTGAAGCCAGCTGTTCAATCATGGGCAGCAACAAGGATTTTGTATTTGAACAACAGCAACAATTACCAAAACCCTTACAGCTACAAAATGAATACGAGCCTTATTTTGAAGCCTCCAATCCAATGGAGATTCATGATCAATTTGGTTTTGTTGGTGAAGAACAGCTGCAATCTCAACTCTTACAGCTAGACAATACGTATGAACTTTATTTAAAACAAAACATGCTACTGGAAGCGATTGATGAGAAGCAAGTGGAGCACTCAAAAGCTTCAAACGATCCAAGTTTCATTAATGGTGATCAGCTAGAGCATTCAGATTCATCTGAGCAGCTATCTCTTAGTCTTTGGTCTTGGCAGAACTAGCACGTGTGTTCTCTTTCAAAGTTCTCTCTCTATCTATATAAAAAATCTAATATTTGGATTGATATTCATATTTTGATCTTAACTTTTTGCTTCAATGTTGTTTGACTGAATGAATTTGTATTTTTTTAAAGAAAAAATGTATAAAATATTGTTATATATACCGATATATATGACTGGTTTATGACTGTATGTACAATACAAAATTACAGTTCTAATTTTGATTTTGTAGTCACAATCCTTGCTTCATAAACAGGCTAATCTTTGTCATTCTCATCAAAAAATTTATCAGGTATTTATGTATTTGCATTTTGTTTTGATTTATATCATGGATTGATAAAGCTCATTACATCCTATTTAACAGAAAAAGGGTTAATGACACTAGTATCTGAGGAATAAGTAGATTAATATAAGGTTGGGCCATTACTTACTAGTTTATGTTAGAGTTGGTTAACTCACTTTGGTGTTAGGTTACCCATTTTTAAGTGCAGCAGAATATATTTATCAAGTTGATTAGGAAATTTCCGATTTGTACACATAAAAAATAAGTGGGGAAATTAAAGGATACAACTGTAAGGGAGTAAAAGAATTAAGAGATTTCTGGAACAAACTTGAGATATTTTGAGAGAAATGAACTACTAATTCATTCATTACAAAGCTAGCTCACTGTACTCTTTTATATGTAAAGAGTAAAGAGTAAAGTTATACAGTTAACTAACACGGTTGTAAACAAAACTACACCGTTTAAACACAATTACACGAGTCCTCATAGGTTTAATAGGTGGCAAACAATACCCTTTTGACTTTATGGTGGGTGTCGAATCCAACAAATAATAAAATTCTCACTCTCAAAAGAATTATAAATTGTAACAGTGATGAGCAAGGTCGTATCCACAGAGATTGAGTAGATTTATTTTAATGAAAATTAAAGTAAAGAAAAAGGGGGATTTTGAAATTTCGAAGTGAAATAAAAAGAAAGCAGTTATAATAAACTAAAAATTAAGGGGAAATCAATATCAAGCAAATATCCAACCGAAGGTATAATTTCAGAATTGGTTCAGAGAATTGATCACAGATACGAGGATAATCTTCCATTCTTCACTAAATTGGTTATGGTTATTAACAAGCTCTAACAACCTATCTCTCCTTACTTTCTCTATAACCAAAACAAGCTCTTTGATTACTTCCCTTGTCAATAAACAACCCTAAACAAGCTCTTAGGATTTAATCTATTGACAACATTAATAATTAGAGAGACTACTAATTCTACTCAACAAATACACAAGCTCGATTCATTTAGACTAGATTATACATCTTCATAACATAAATCGAAAATCCCTTTATAATCAACTATGTTATTTCACCACTAATATTAGAACACTTAAACAATTACGGATTTAAAGTTCTAAATGGCAATTTATCAACCTGATAATTGAACAACAGGCCCTTTGCATCAATCAATCAAGACAATAATTGTTAATAAACATAGAAGAGTATATAAATAGTAAAGAAATAAAAGAACACTAAAAATTATTTAGATCTCACAATCCTTAAAGAACCAAAACTTCAATTATCCTTCAGTTGGAAGAAAAGTATTTAGCTACACATAATTTTTAAGAGAACGCCTAAAGAAAAGAGAAGAGAGATATAGGGGGAGAGAGATGTCCCCTTTTCTTGTGAATAATCTCCCTATTTATAACTCCATCTAATAATAGTTACCATATCTAGATCAGGAAACTAATTAAAAGCAAATCCCACCAAAATAGGGAGTCTTGGCAAATCCTAGAGATTAAGAAAGGGTAAATAAATCTTTCCAGCTGTCATGCATATCTTTTTCTCCAACAAATTCGTAATCCTAGGTCAAAAAACCTCGGATCCAGTAAGGCGCGCCCACGCTTATCTGCTGACTGCTTTTATGAACATTCTGGGAAAAATGGACGTGCCCAGCTTTAAGCAAAATCCGCTTCGGAATGTATTCTTTTTGAGCTTCGATTTTTTCTCTCCAAAACTCTTGATTTTGATTCAATTTGATTTAATCCTCAATCTACTCCACAAAATACGAAACATAATCAAAATCCAAGATTTAAGCATTTATAACCATTAAACATGAGGAAATATAACAAATATATAGATATTATGAATGCTATCACTACATCCTAACATTCCCCCTTAAACTGATCTGGGGTAATTTTGTATTAAGCCACCTTCTGGGCTTCATTTTGTCTGAAAAACTCAGATTCTTTCTGAATCTTTTGACTTAATTGAATCTGAAAATAAGCTAACAGATGTTGAATACTGCTACAACTCCACCAGCTCAAGAAAAGATATTTCAGAAAACAGAACTGGACTCCTGCCTCTGATTTACACCAGCTTGCAAGCATAACCCGCAAAAAAAAAATAATCATCTTCTAAAGCTGCAACACAAATTCCAAATAACCATCTTTCTGAAAGCTGCAACTGCAACTGCCATTTGATTATCACAAAACAAACGCAACTTCCAATACATCTTTCCGAAAGCTGCAACTGCAACTTCCGATTATCACAAAACAACAAAAAACTATAGAGCAACTAGCTTTCTAAAAAGGAACTGCAATTTCCAATAAACACTTCCAATTCTATCATAAACACAACTAGCTTCTTTGAGTGAGCACTGCAACTCAACTGATTACTAGTAGAGAATTTCTTGCTGAAAGAACAATCAACTTCTTTAACTTAACACTTTTAACAATCATCACCTTTAGCTGAACACAATTCTAATCAACAAGCTCTTTTAATTTGGGTAGAACTGGCCACAAGAAAAACAACCAGAATACAGAAATAACTAGCCAAAAATAATAATAATAATAATAACCAGCAACATAATTTTTAATGAGATCATTTAAGTAGTTTTAACTTGAGGATCATTTAGATATCGGGAAACTGAGTAGTAAACTTGATCATTTCAGTAAAAAACATAGAATGTCAACAATTCATTTCTTCTTTACCAAAAAACATTCAATTTGCTTCTAATTTAGTGAACTGGTAACCGATAAGGCTTTGTCCGTAAATCAGCAATCTGAAGTTTGGAGCACATATGGTGGTTCTCTTTGCATCACCTACTCTCTACATAATGTGCATTATCTCTATATGCTTAGTTCTAGCATGAAACACTGGTTGGCTGCCAAGGCTGCAACAATTATATTGTCACATCAAATGATAGGTGTGGCTAAATGGATAATCCAATTCTGCAAACATACTTTGCAGCCACGCAATTTCTGTAGTTGTAAGCTAGAGCTATATATTTGCTTCGATTGATGAAAGAGCTATAACATTTTGTTTCCTTGAGCTCCACTGAATTGATTGGGTCCCATATATACACAATAACGCTAGTAGACCTCTTATCTCCATGTTGCTGCCCCAATCCGCATCAACATAGCACTTTATACTTAAAGTGCTTGTTGCCTTAAAATGCAGTCCATAATCCAAGGTCCAAGGTGCCTTTGATGTATCTTATGATCCTCTTGCAAGCTTGCCATTGAAGGTCTGTAGGAGCTTGCAAAAACTGACTTAATTTATTGACTGGAAAACTAATGTCAGGTCTTGTAAGTGTTAGATATTGCAGTGCACCCACTGTGCTCCTGTACAAACTTGGGCCAGCAAATAACTCACTATCAGTTAATATAACTTGGTTCCTACTGCCATTGGGGTGGCACAAGCATGACAGTCCAACATCTTTGTTTTGGATAGCAGATCAATGGCATATTTCCTCTGTTTAAGATGAATTTCAGCAACAGTTTGTATTGCTTCCTAGCCCAAAAGAAAAGACAGAGATCCAAGAGTTTTAAGTGAAAACTCATCATTTAGATCTTGCATAAGCTGAGTGATAAATGAATTATCTAACCCTGTTATAAGAATATAATCTACGTACACAAGAACATAAGTGAGATAAGAATTTTGTTTAAAAGCAAATAGACTGCTGTTAGAAACTAAATTCTAAAATCCGTTGTTGAGAAGAGTCATTTTTAGCTTGTCAAACCAAGCTCTTAGAGCTTGTTTGAGCCCATATAGGGCTTTATGCAACTTACACACATAGGTTGATTTAGTGGGATCCTCAAAACCAAAGGGTTGTTGCATGTAGACTTCTTCATTTAGAGTTCCATGTAGAAATGCATTATTTACATCCACTTGTTGAATATCCCACCCTTTTGTGACAACCAATGAGAGAATTATTCTAATTGTGGAGGCTTTAACTACTAGACTGAATGTTTCAAAATAATCAAGTCCAACGGTTTGTTGAAAACCTTTGGCAACAAGTGTAGCTTTGTATTTTTGTAAAGAACCATCAGAATTGAACTTGGTCCTAAATACCCATTTGTTCCCTACAATATTCTTATCTGAAGGAGCAGGAACTAAGGTCCAAGTTTCATTTTTTGGCAGAGCATCAAATTCACTTTACATTGCATTTTTCCACTCAGGACTATTAAGAGCTTCAAGAACACTTTGAGGTTCAGGTGTCACGTCACAAGTTTCTAAACTAAGACCTTGATGATGATATGAAGTAAGAGCAGTGGTTGCTATGTTGTTAACAGTTGCATATTGACCATATTGACCAGTCTTAATATTAGAGGTTGGAGTGTTTGTTAGGGCTACATAATTATCAGAGCTAAGATTAGTAACTGCTGGGTTGAAAAGGGCTGCATAATGATCAATGACTGCAGTGTTTGTAAGAGTTGTTGTTTTGGATCTAGTTAGCATTGGGTGTGTGTTTGTAGCAACAGATTTGTCAGTGTGCAAAGTCACAGGAATCTTGAATGAAGTGAGATTAACCTCTAGTGAACATGTTGGAAAGAAAATTGATGGTATAATAGGAAGTGTCGAAACTAACGTATGTGATAAGGGAATATATTTGTTGAAATGTGGTGAGGCAAAGGTGTTATTTGTATCCGACTTTGAGTGATCTGTTTGGGAATGAGGTAAAGGTGATGAGTGTTGTGTTTGTGAAGATAAGGAAATATTGATCGGAGAAGTGGTGGGTGAAAAGATAGAACAATGTGGAACTGCAGTGTTAATGTTAACTATTGTGCCA